TTCCCTTCTAATGTAACTACCCTAAGCTGCTACCCTATGTTTTTCTTGAGGGAAAAAGTATTTTTCCGCAACAAACAAGCCAAAAGTGACACAGTACAGCAGATTTTGCCTTGTTCGTGTTGCTGTTTCTGGTTTTTCTGTGGCCTTTTTGTTACTTTTATTTATTTATGCATTGTTTCCTTTATTTCTTTTTTTTTGTGTAATTTTTTCTTTATTTTTTTTGAACACACGCACACTCAGCCACAATAAATGCATCGAGGCGGGGCAGCCAACGACCGCCCACATAAAAGGGGGAGCTTTGCTTTGAGCTTGAGTCTTTACCTTTTGAAATTTTCTGGAAAAAAAGGAAAATTATTTTGAATTTTAAAGAAAGTTTTATAAATATATTTATTATTATAATAATAATAATTAATAATAAAGATCAGACTTCAAGGAAAAGGTAAATTTTGTATTGGCTTCAGGGTATATCACAGTCGAGCATACTTTCCTACACTTACCTGATCCCCCCTCCCTCGTAGTCCTTCTCCTGGGCTTCCTTGTGACATGGCGACGTCCGTTTGCTGTTTGTTCAGTTTGTGACTGGTTGCATTCACGGGGGAGGATTACAGGGCGGTGGGTGGACTTAGGGGGCGTGGCGGGACAAGCACTTGACTCCCAAAGAAATGCAAAAAGAAAAGAAAACGGTAGCCGCAACAACCTTTGTTGTCAGGAAAATTTGGTTTTCCGTTGGCTTAAACTTTGATTTTATATAAATTATAATAATATGGAAAAATAAATAATAATAAAATAATAAAATTATAAATATAAACAATATATAATATATTTTTTAACTAGTTTGTTAGATACTTTTTTAAAAATAACTAATTTCCTAACTACTAAACTTTGACATTTCTTTAAATTATATCAAAGTCATTATTTTTTTTACTTAAATTGTAAATATTATTATTAAATACACCATTATATTATTATTATTATTTTCTTACATTTTATTCCCATTTTCAACAAAAATTTCCACACCGCCTGCCAAAAAGTTTACGGCGCGTCGCGAACTTCGTCGCGCTTCCTTTGCTTCCTTTTTATTGTTGATTTTGTTGTGGCCATCGACCTGCCAGCCAGCCGCCCCCCTTAAAAACGCCCCCTTTTACGTGGGTGGCACTGGGTGGGCGTGGCAGTAAGCTGCGCCTTATCACGGAATGGCCAACATTTTCTTACCGCTACTTGTTTGTTTTACGTCGGTCTTTCGATTTTTTTTCTATTTCTTTTGTAGTTCCCTTAGTTAAGGTATTTTAATTTTTAACAGAAACTTGGCTAGTGGTTAAAAATATTCTTAAAAAATATATTTTAGCAAGTAAATAGTAGATAAGTGCTATTACATAGTTACTTACCCTAAAATAAGCTTCATTTTTTTTTAAATCAAGAAAAAAGTGCCCTTATATTAAGAAAAAAATTGTGCTGAAGCTAAGAACATCTTTTTAAAGGTAAAAAATATTTAATTTAATTTATAAAAGTCTTTCAGTTAGAGTTTTAGCTTCTAACTAATTTTTAACCCAAAAATATAAAATATTTTCTTAATAAAATGTTTGCAGAGTATTCAAAAGACTTCTTTTATGAATATTCCCTTTTTCTACTTGTTTTTCGGTGCTACGGTGATTTTTTGATAACTGACATTTGTTAGCGTTTACCAAGCAGTGGGGTGAAAGAGGCGAGAATGAGGAGGAAACCAGAGCAGGTACAGGAGCCAAAAGGTAAAGGTAACGGTAAAGATAAAGATAAGGTAAAAGTCAAAGTTTAAAGCGCCAAATGAGATGACAGATTAGGAATCAGGAAAGTGGATACCACAACTAGCTTTAATATTTTGTTCCAGACTTTATATAATTTTTATAAGTTTTATTTATTATTATCTTGTTTTTTTTTTTATTTAAAATTGATTGTTGTTTATTTATACTAAATACTAGACTTTTAAACTCTATTTTCTTTCTTTTATTTTATTTAAAAAACACAAATTTTGCAGTAAAGTTTTCTTTATTAAAAAAAACATAATAAAATTTTTCTGTGACCTCAAAGTTAAAAATTAAAAGCTAAAAAACGAGCGCTTTCGTGTGTAAACAAAAACAAAAACTTGGCTCAAATGTTTGCCAACGTTTTATCCATCTCTCCTCTCGCTCACTTCCATCTTCCTTTTCTTCCTGAATTTGGAGCAGCAAATTTTCAAGGCCGTCAAAGATCAACCGATTTCGATAACTTTTCGATAGTCCCAGAAAAGTGGGAGGCAGTGGGAACAGCACCCACATATACAAAGAGAAAGGGAGAGAGCTGGAAAGAAAAGCACTTCGCAGCTTAACACCCTAATGTGAAATATTTTTTTGGTCTCCCCTCGCTGTCACCCAAAACGGGACACTTTAACCCCCCCGACTGTTCCCTTATTTTCGTCGAACATCTTCTTCTTCATCGTATTGAAGTGTGACAGGGAGAGCGAGTGTGGGAGTGGGTGGCGAGGAACTCGCAAAAGCGCCACTCACAGTCGGTCCCACTCGCTCCCAGCTCACGCCTCTCTGCCGCTCTGTCGCGTTTAGTTGTTTCCCCCTCCTCTTTCTTTGTCTTTTTTTTTTTTTGTATTTTTGCCTTCGCTTTTATTGCGCTTGATCTTTGGCTTATTACCATGTCGCATTTTTTCGCCTTCTTTTTTTTGGCATAAGAATTGCAACGCAAGCAGAATACGAAATGTTTAGAAATATTTTTTTGATTTAGTTATTGAGCTTTTTAAATTTCCAAATGTATAATTTAATATTTTTATATAAATATTAAATGTACTTTTTTAATAATAATTAATAATTGGTATTTTATTTTAAAGAATTTCTATACAACATTTAATTGATATTTACATTTAATTATTTTATTTTTGCTTAGTTTCGCTTTAAGATTTTGTATTATTTTTAGCTTAAAGTTAACATTTTCTTACAAATATTTACAAACGTATTACTATTTTTACAAAAGTTTTTTGTTTTGTATTTTTTTGGTTACATTTTTGCCCGCCTTCTTTTTTTGTTGTGGTTATGTTGCTTCTTCGCCTTCTTTATTTTTGTTGGTGTCTCGAATGCGTTAAAACGCCAAAGGGTCGTCCTCCTCTCACCAACTCTTCGTTCTGCCACCCGCTCCACACGTCAACCACCTCGTGCCTCTTGCTCTCTCTGTCGCTCTGCTGACGACAAGTGACAAACACAAGTTGAAGAAGGCGAAGAAGAAGAAGAAACAGCAGCAGCAGTTGAACAAAAAACAGAGGAAAAAAAGAGAGAAAACTTTTTTGCGACCAACAGTTGACAGTCGAAAAGCATTTGACATTTTACCTTGGCACACACACAGACACGCATACTGCCACACGGCACACTCGAAACGCAACACTCACAGGCACACAGACCGAGTGTGAAAGAGACAAAACGCGGGCAAATGTCACTTTGAAAAATGCCATTGGCTCTGCGAGCGAAAGAGAGAGCATGAGCAGGCGTTGGAGCAAGCGAGTGAGGGCGAGCTTGCGAGCGAGAGCGAAACTTTTGCGCATCTCTCGATGAAGCGAAAAGCAAAAGCAAAGCAACAAAAAAACCAGTTGCTTAGCAACGCCCCCTCTAACCGCAAAATTACGATGCCCGCTCTCACGCGAATATAGCAACAGCAACAACACAGGCGGAGAGAGAGCAACAACCATATGGAGACTTGATAAAACAACACCAACAATAATGTGCAAAATGGGAGTACAAAAACAAAACGCAAGCAACAACACACGAAAATATATCAACACCACCCACAAAAACAGTGCATATGACAAGATCAAAAAACATTACAAATATACAAAATCAAAATACAGGAAAATTTAATATATGTAACAAGCTTATATACATTGGCAGTTTGCAGTAAGATCGAATTGGAAATCTTTTGCTGATTTTCTAGGCTCTCATATAAACAAACCGACCGATCATATAGCGACTACAGGATATAATGGCCCGATTTTGACTGTTTTTTAAATATCTACTGAAAATGGTTCAGAAAAACTACACCTAATGTATGCAGATTTTCATATTCTTTTCCCATGCATTTTCCAATTGTTCCTATTGCAGCTTATAATAATAATTCTACACCTATGTACATATACATATTAAAAATAATAATAATAATAAATTATCATTTTTATTATTTCGGATTATTTCTTTTTTCTATAGTTCTAGTCATTAATAATAATATTATGAACATTTTTAAGTATTATAATTGGGTATGGATTCTATTCAGCAATATCTGTTTATATTAAAGTAAGCTAAATAAATAAAGAAGATTTAAAACTTAAAAAATATTAAAATAAAGGAACTATTATTATTAAACGAAAAGCACTGTAATTTTTTAGAATAAAAATATATAAATAATTTTCATTAAAAAGGCCTCTTTTTGAATTAGACTTTATATTTTAAATATTTAACTATATATAATTATAAAATAAACAAAACACTGCAATTTTATACAGTACTAAACGATTAAAACTGTTTTATTTTAAATTTATATTAAGCAATTAAAAATATTGCTTATTATCTCCGCGCATTTTTTTGACTTTTTATTTTTTAATCTAAACAATATTTTTTTAGCCAAATAGGGTCCCTATTTTTTGAACTGCAACATGATAACAGAAACAACAATTGGCAAGAGAGTGAGACAACAGCAACAACAACAATACCGAATGAAGAGCAGTTCAAGAAGCAGCAACAACAACTACAAGACCGAGAGAGCAGCCAGCGACTCCATTGCAGCGCCGCCAGCAGCGCAGTCGGCGCCGCAGCAGCAGCAGCCAACGAGCGGCACAGTCGCTACATCTCGCTCTAGCAACCAGCGCATCAAAGGCGAACAGCAGCGCCGATTAGCGGCACTCGTACGAGTGGCGGCAGCTATCTCACTCGCCCATTCGCCGCGCCATTCGTCGCCGCTTCGGGTCGGCGTTCGTGTGTGCGTTCGGCTTTTTAATCGTGCCGTCCGCTTTGCCGTCGCCGTTTGGCGTTTTCCGTTTTCAGTTTTTGTTTGACGTTCGCGAAGCGCTGCAAACGCACGCAAAACGGGAATACAAACGCTCCGCCACGCTAACGCCAATGTCGATTTAGCGTTTACCGTTAGGTCAGCTGATTCCGCCGCGCAAAGAATAGCCGCAGATCACCAGCAACCTGGAAAATACGAAATTCAATTTTTTTGCAAGTGATTCGAAGCAACAGCAGCAACAGCACAAGAATACGAATAAGAAGCATTCAAAGCAAGCAACAAAACAAAGGAAATTTGAAAAAGTGAAGTGATTGGAATAAGGAGTAAATTACAAGAAGAGAAGCATAATATACACAACGACTAAATGCTACAAATCGCAAAATAACGGCGTTTCGCGCTTTGTTTTTGTTTTTACTGAAATTGCCGCCGGCACACACGTGGTGCTATCTCGCTTTCCTCGCCCCCTCCGCTCCGAAACCGCTCCACTCGCTCTCTGTTGATGCGCGCTTACCGTTAAGTGTGCAAGTGCGGATCCCCGCGTTCTCTCTCTTCCTTCGCTGTCTCCTCTTCTCGCTCTCACACACTCCCACGCGCTCGTGCCCCTACCACGCACACACCTACACATTACTGAGGCTCAGACACACGCACACAGACCCCATAACATACGCACCGTTATTTTTGGAGACTTAACCCACTGACGGCCCTTCAAAAAAAAGAAAGAAAAAGGAAGAAGCCGAAAAAAGGTCGCAAAGGCGCCCAAAACTTAACCCCCCTGACAAAAAAGCGTAAAAGAACTCCATATATAATATCCCCCGGCATCAAAATATTCGACAACAAAATTCTCACCGAGGCCTCGAAAGCGCCCCTGAGGGCCGTCGCACTGGCGTCATTTCTGGGCGACGGGTTCGCCGCCCTCGGTAGCCGCGCCCCCCCGCCCAAGGACCATCTGATGGCGTTTGGGGCGGTACTGCACACCAGCCAGCACAATATCGGTAAGTGATCGCCATATCATTGGGGTTAAAAGAGGGGATCTAGGCACTATGGATTTGGAGGGGACGAGGGTATTTTCTGGTTAAAACTTTAGATCTTTCTAAAAAATGTATGCTTATATCCTTATGGAAAAGGTTTTAAGAAAATAGGGTGATGATTTCTATAAAGTCCAATTCCAATCATGGAAAGTAGTCTTGTTAGGTTTGAGAAGTATAGTGTGTTTAAAGAGGTTTTATATAGGGCAGAAAACTGATATTTTATTAAAATTCATTTAAAGAAGTCCAGTATGATCCTTTGGAATCCTGTAAACAAACTTTAAATACATATATTTAAAGTTAGAAAATTAGATTGACTACATTTGTGAAAATATATTATTCCGACGGGATTTTCCGCTTAACTCTTGTGTGCATATAAAACACAACCCCATTTCACGGGTGCTTAAAACTTTAAGGATCTGGAATAAATGTGATCCTGCAATGATGATCCTTCCGCTAAGGGTTATTGACATTGCCTTGGCTCTGCCATCAATGGGTTAAGATGGCCAGGAAGGATTTTAATGGCGACGGCTGAAGAGGGAAACAAAGTTTTTGCACTTTTGAACTTGTTTCCTCATTTTTTTTTCAAAAGGGATCGCAGGACTAGGGAGGGAGGAAGGAGGGGTCTAAGGTCCCTTCTCTGTTGCTCTCTCTCTCTTTTTGTCTTTCTATTTCTCAGTAGCCTTCTGTGTTCCTTGGTCGCCTGCCGTCTCGCTTCCGCATGCCCATTTTGTGTGTGCTTTTGAAGTTCTTGTTCTTTTGTTTTTGTTTCTGTTTTGATTTTTTGCTCGGTTTATTTTTTGTATTTTTTGCATTTTGGTTTTTTTTTTTGTATTTTACGAAAAAGTTTTGCGCAGTTGTCAAAGTTTTTTTCAGCTTGTTCCTGGCGCTGCTGCCCTTCGTCTTGTTCTTCGTTTTCTATAGTTACTGGTTGTTGTTTTTTGGCTTTTTGTTACATTTCATTTGCTCTCCTGTCAAATTTTCACTTTTGCTGACTGTTTAATGTCAGAAAAAAAGTAATATAAAAAAATAGTTGCAAATAGTAAGGCTACGGGCAAAAAGTTGCTAGTTTTCAAAGCATATGTTGAGCAAAAGGGTTGAAAAACCGTCTATATTTAATATATTTTGAAATCATTTAAACATGGTGTTAAAATCCAAGATATTTTATTCAAAAGTATACATATCTATTGAAAATATTTAAAAATAAGACTTTTACATTTATTTTAACTTTTTCAAGTCCCGATTTTTAATTCGAAAGAAAATATTTCAAAATATATTTAATGAAGGCTCAAAAATGTTTCTCTATATTAGCCAAAAAAATAACTCTTAATATTTTAAATATAATATACAACGTGTTAGCTACTAGTTTTTCCTGTGAACTTGGAGAAATCGAAGTTGGTGAAGTAAAACTTGGAAATGCAACTGAAAATCCGCCAGTAAAACTTGTTGACATTGGACATGCAGCGGGGGAAACACCTTCCTCCCTCATAAATTTGTTTTACAGAACTATTTTTTTTTCTTCTTTTTTCGGAGGCTCCGGAGGCTATTCAAGTCAAAAGCTGTCGACGTTTTACTAGAAAATTGATGTTCAGGAAGCCATAGACTCCCGTACGGTAGAGCTCTTTACAACTGCAGACGGATGACAAGTCGAGTCATAAAGCTGCCAAGTTTACTTCTTCCTGCTTCTACCGTTCCTGAGCGTGTTTTCTTTTAGATTTTAGTTCTACCCATTAATTAATGAAGGGGTTTAAAGTGGATATGAGTAGAGTAAAGTACAACAAAATTTAGAAGAAGATCCTTGAAATTGTGATGAATATAGTGGTAGAAATGGTAGAAAGAAAGTAAAAGAAAGATAGTACTTAGTTTTGAATTACATTTTAAAGATATTTTTCAATGGAAATATATGTTTATATTGATTTACTTTGAATCTACAAAATGTATCTAAAAGATTAAAGATTGAAGATTGATTGATGAAAGAAACAGCTGTTTATAACAAGAGTCCTGCTACCCTATTGACAGATCTTCCTTCTTAATTTAAATAATAATCCAATATTTTTAAAGTAATATTTTAACAGGAAAAATTTAAATTTATATTTTAAAGAACAATAAAATATAAATTTACATTTTTCCTGTTAAAATATTTCCGAATTTAGACGCTTTTCCTGTGTTGCAAGTGAAATGCTAACAGTTTTCAAAGGGTAATTCCAAGTCTTTGCACTCTCGCTAACATTTTCCCTGGACAGACAGCCTCTGCTCATTTTTCTTCGTATATATCTGGCTGGATGCATCTTTTCAATTTTTATTTTGCTGCCAGCGAAGCACGGCAGCAGCAGTAACTGCAACAGCAGCAACTGCAGCCGCAGCAGCAGCCGCAGCAGCAACAAAAGCTCATACTGGCAACGCCTTCAACAAAAGTTCGCGCTGCCGTTCATCAACATTTATGACTGGCCACAAAGGAAGATCATTACGATCCCGAAGATTAGGATGGATCGCGCGACGGACCTCTCTACTGCAACAATATTTCCGTGGAAGCTTTTGTCCGCGCCTCCGAGAAATGTGATTTTTTCTAGCCATATTTTTTCCCCTCTATTTTTTGTTGTTGTATTTTTTTAGCAAAGGCATTTTTCTTTTCGAGTTTTTTTTACGACGCCAGCGAGCTCGGAGTCAGACTTAAAACTGCAACTTCAACTTGTCCATCAACGGGGTCTATGGATCCTTTGCTTGATTTATGGAGCAAGAAGCGTAGACACGGCAGCTGCTGCCGCATTTAGCAAACTGGCAGGCAAAGGGGTTAAGGTCTAGTTCTAGGGCGTGGTGTGGCCCATAAATTGCCATGCATAATGAGGCGTTGAGTCTCCCGCTCTCTCTCTGTCTCTCTCCTTGTCAATATATACATATATCCTACAAATTTTCACTGCCTTCGCCGGTGGTCCGGGAGTAAGGAAAAATAAAATAAAGATAGAAAAAACACTGTGCAAATATTATAATATAAAATCCAGCTTTCAAAACCCATCTACAAAAACCCGTTTCCAATCGCCGGCACTTTCAAATTAAAACTTACTATAAAGTCGCTCGATCCAGGTACCCAGATAGCGGAAGCCAGCCCAAAGTCGTTAAGAAAAATATATAAAATGAGATCTAAAAATTTTTAGATTTTAAAGAAATTAAGTTGAGCTTTTAACAACACATAAAATGAGGCAGAAAAAAAAAGAAAAAAATTATTCACAAATGCTTCATCGTTTTTTAGATATTTTAAAATTTATTGTAAAACACAGATCATTATAAAGCAAGGATAATTCAAGCATTGTGAACATTTTTCTACCCTCAAACTCCGCACAAATCGTATCCCAGAATACCGACTTGGGAATTTTTAGGGCACCTCATCGAAGATATTTAAGGCTGCGTTTATATTGAAATTAAATTGAAATTAAATACTTCTATTGCCTGAGAATAGAGTCTCTGGATTCATGATATCCTTTGGCAAAGTCGAGTTTCCCCAGATCTTGCAAATAGTTTTCCAGATTTCTTCCCGTCTCACTCCTGTATGTCTGTCGCTGTCTCTATCACCGCCGCTGTCCCTGTCTCTGTCGCTGGTCCCTGTCCCTGTCTCTGTCTCTGTCCCGTGCTATGAAAGTTATGAGGGGCCCCCCAACTGTTGGGAACTTTTCAATTTCTGCAATCCGGGGCTTGGCCCGAACCAGAAACTGAAAACTGAAACTTGGCCGAGGGTAAGGCAACGTCGTCGCCTGTCCTCCTTGTCGTGGAGCAAAGAGTAAGGCCCCCCTTTAACCCGCTTTTGCCAGCGCTTTTAGGTCGAAAACTGAAATAGTAATTCACATTCATGGGCTCTGTGTGTCTGGGCCATGGTTTTCTGGTAGACTGATACTGGTTCTGCTTTTTGTTTCTGCCTTTTTTGTATTTATTTTATTTTTTTTCTTGTGTACTTTTTGTTTTCTTTTTCTTTATGGATTTCTTGGGCCATTTTACGATTATTTTAAAGCTGTCAATAGTCCAGGCAACGTGTGAGATAATTTATATGCCATAAATTTCATTTGGCAAACTTCTGCAGCCCAACTCCTTAACCCTTTTTTCCTGTCCCTTCTTAACCCGTTGTATTTTGCTTTGCTGCTTTTTTTATTTTTTTTCTAGCATTTTCTTGGGGGCTGTTGTTTCGGTGGCTTATCGCCTTCTTGGGCCTTTGATTTACAGCTCGGCACTCAACAGGTTAAGCTGCCTCCTAACCCTAAAACCCTCTCTCACAGTCTTTCTCTTTCTAATTATAATTTACTATTACACCAAAAAATTCTTTCTAAAAAAAAAGAAGAAAACGCACGCCGAACAACAAGAAGAAAACGGTAGCTAAAGCCTCGGGGATTGATTTATAACCGAGAGATTGCAAAAAGCCCAGCGCAAATGGACGAGAAGATGATGAAGCAGCAGCCGTGGAAAAATAAAAATAAGCAGGAGGTGCTCTTCTGTTACACGGAAAATAAAATAAAAATTTATGGAGGATATATTTATTTTTTAAATATAAATAGAAATAAAAATATATATTAAATATAGGCAGTTTATTCCTATTTAAGATTTTTGTCTTATTTAAAAAAAATAGATAAAATAGATACTTCTTATTTATTAACTAAAAAATGTTTTCAAACACTTGTTTTTGATTTGAAAACTCTATAATCTATACAAGATATTGCTTCATATATCAGGTTCTAACATGTTAATTACATGTTTTTTTCAAGAGAATAATTTATATTCCTCCTTATGAACTTGTTTAAACTAGCTTAAATCTACTTGTCAGTAGTTTTTACAATTAAAAGTCTTGAAATTAATATCTAAATATATGTCTAATCAAGTAAAAACCATAAATAACATTAATTAAATATTTTTTAATTAATACATTATTTAACATGATAAACTAGGGCTAATATTCCAGTGCAGCCAGAGTTTTTAGACGCTTTTGC